GGCAGTACCTTGAAAAAGTGCCCTGTGACAGTCTAATTGTCAAGTTAGTTAAAAGTTGAGAATCGTTTTCTGCCATTAAGAGCCTGGATAGAAATATTTTTAAAAATCACGTTGTATAGGATTGCATTTTGTTGTTAAGTGTTCAGAATAGGAGTAATTCCACAGCAGTCAAATTTAATAGATAATAAACCTAATTGATAATAATTGTATTCAAACCTGGAACACCCAGAAGGGATGTCTAGGGAGATTCTCCGTCATCCACATCATGGTTCTCCCAAAGGTGCTTTTTTTCCCCAAGAGGCAACGGGACTTTTTGTTTTTCCTTTGAAGATGTTTCACTTCTCATCTAAGAAGCTTCCTCAGCTCTGACTTCTATTCCTCCACCATCCAGTCAGAGCTGAAGAAGCTTCTTGGATGAGAAGTGAAACATCTTCAAAGGAAAACCAGAAAGTCTAGTTGCTTCTTGGAAAAAATAAACATCTTTGGGACATAAGAAGGATCAGTGGTGGGATTCAATTTTTTTTACCACTGGTTCGGTGGGCGTGGCTTGGTGGGCGTGGCAGGGGAAGGGTATTGTAAAATCTCCAGTCAGAGGTAGTATTTGCTGGTTTTACAAACTACTCAAAATTTCTGCTACTGGTTTTCCAGAACTGATCAGAACCTGCTGAATACCACCTCTGGAGATGATTATTGTGGAAAGCATAATCAGTTATTGTGGTGTAGAGGAATTTATATATACTATATTTAAGGTTGTTGGTAAATAGCAGGTTTTTTTTTTTTACAAATAATACCATGTAAATGTATTGAAGTCCAAATCTACTATCTCCTGCATTTTTTGTACTAATTAGGGTGATTTGCTTCTTGTCCAAAATGTTGAAGAGCACCAAGGGCAAGGCTTGGGCAAGGCTTACAGAATAATGGGGAAAAAAAACCATTGAAGATTGGCAGCTGCAATATTATGGACCACAACTTGTGGTCTATTTTACTTTGGATACATAGATTTGGGTTTTGATGAGTAACTTCATTGCTCATAGATGCAGTTTTTAAAGATAACTATCCTTTATGTAAGGTAGGAATTAGAAAAAAAACCACATAGAGAACTTCAGATGAAACAAAAATATTAAAATCAACATGCCCTTCAGGTTTACCATTATTCATTTCTGATTATAATATAAAATCATGGGAAGCAACAGTTTATATTATATGAGTCACACCGTTTATACAGTTAGCTATGGTCCCCTTACTAGATGAAAATAGCATCAAATATGTCTGTTTTTATACTTTCCTTGCATTGGTGCACGGTCTAGCCAACCATACTTGATTACCTGAGAGCTGTGGTGGCACAGTGGTTAGAATGCAATGCAGCTTACTTCTGCTGACTGCCGGCTGCCAGCAGTTCGGCAATTCGATTCTCATCGGCCCAAGGGTGACTCAGCCTTCCCTCCCTCCAAGATTGGTAAAACGAGAACCTAGATTGTTGGGGGCAATATACTGACTCTGTAAACTGCTTAGAGAGGCTGTGAAGTGGTATATAAATCTAAGTGCTACCTCGCTTGTGCCTCAGTGATTTCTGTAAAAAAAGAAGTTAGGAAAAATGCATGTTTGCCTAAATTGCTAAGTGATACTTACAGGTACCTGGGGTTACTAGTATGCTAGATGAAGCTAACAGTCTAAAACAGGGGTGTCAGACTTATCACAATGTTTTCTCCTTTTGCTAAACTGAGTGTGGGCATGGCCAGCACGTGACACATCTGGCCTGCGGGCTATGAGTGTGACAGACCTGGTCTAAAAGTTATTTCAATCTTTTCTTCATGATAGGGCTGTTCAGCCTCCTACTGATTGGACTGAGATCCATCTTTATGCTTAGTTTAAACATAGAGATTGTTGGTGAATGCATTCCTGAATGTGTAGCAGCTTCTGTGCCTAAAAGGGCTTTTCAACAACTCTGGTTGAAAAGGTACTCCTCGACTTACGATGACAATTGAGCCTAACATTTCTGTTGCTAAGTGAAACATTTATTCAGTGAATTTTGCCTCATTTTACGACCCTTCTTGCCACAGTTGTTAAGTGAATCACTGCAAGCGTTAAGTTAGTAACATGGTTGTTAAGTGAATCTGGCTGCCCCATTGATTTTGCTTGTCAAAGGATTGCAAAAGCTGATCACATGGGACACTCAACCATCATAAATGTGTGTCAGTTGCCAAGTGTCCAAATTTTGATCACATGACCATGGGGATGCTATAAAGGTGGTAAAAATGAAAAATGGTCATAAGTCACTTTCTTTAGTGCCATTGTAACTCTGAACAGTCACGAAATGAACTGTTGTAAGTTGAGGATTAGCAATATAACAATATTAGATTAGTTTAAAGGCCTATGTAGTCAAGCATCTTGGTTTTTAACAGTGGGCTGCCAGTTATTGATGAGAATACAGCCTCTTGTAACCGTATGACTGTAACTTTGTCGCTTGTATCCTTACGATTTATATTGACTGTTTCCTAGTATGATTTGATTGCTTATTGTACCCTGTGACTATCATTAAGTGTTGCACGTTATGATTCTTGACTCTTGACAAATGTATCTTTTCTTTTATGTACACTGAGAGCATTTGCACCAAGACAAATTTTTTGTACGTCCAATCACACTTGGCCAATAAAGAATTCTATTCTTAAAAAAAAAAAGAATGTAGATTTTTTTTTCTCACAGTATAACCACAACTGTATTTTTATTGTGTTGCAGTTGTTTGTATTCCACTAATAATAATAATCATCTTAGAGAAAGAACTGGGAAAAACACAAAATACAAAGACCAGCAAATAGAACAACTGTGGCAAAAGAAAGCAAAGTTAGTAGCAATAGTAATTGGTGCCTTGGGTGCGATCTCAAAACATTGGAAGCACCACTAGAATAGCACCAATATTGACAAAATCACCATCAGTCAATTGCAAAAGGCAGCTTTACCTTGGAACAGCTTACATCCTGTGACAATATGTTTGACACTATCGAACAATAACATCTGCCTACCCCTAACTCCTTGGGAAGAACCTGATAGGTGCATAAAAATGCCAAATTCAGTCTAACTATCTGGCTGACTGTGCCACCAACCATAATAATAAATATTGATGTGGAAATTCACAAGAAAATACACTCAATTATCACTCCAACAACTATATGGAGAGCCATATTGTCTCAGCAGGTGGCAGCACCTGGTTGATCTTGTCTTAGCTGAAAATATTAGCAGGATCGGGCCTGAATAGAAGTCATCCTGAGAATAAGATTACCCTGAGTAATGCCAGAAGCAGCAATGGGAAACTATTTCCTTACTGTTGCTAAGAAAACTTTGTGGGAAGATCATGAGTTGTCAGAAGTTGAGTGCAGACTGAGGGAAATGGTAATTGGGGGTAATGCATAGCTCTCGTGATTAGTAGCTGGTATGAAAGTTAGTTCTCACCCAGTCAGAAAAATAAACTATGGTAACTGATCCATTGATTGCACACAAAAAAAGAACAGATAGAAACAACATGGCCTGAACCGTGCAAAGAGTTGGAATACTGTTCCTATAGAAAAAGGTTGTTTTTGAATCATAGCAATTGTTGAAATTCTTTGGTTATTGTTTCTATTACTTTTTCCAATACATATGATTCATCTGTCATCAGACAACTGTTGAGAGACAAATTTATGGAGAATAACATGAGAGTGTTTATGGAGTGATACCACATTTTAAAGCCATCTGTGTTAATGGCCATGATCTATAGAAGCAAATTCCATAGTTTAAGCATGAGTTGCCTGAAGAAAGATTTCTTGGCAAAAAAAAAAAAATGAAGTGGTGTGTTCCTTCACCTCCTTTTTCCAGTATGTTTTTTTTTTAAATTCCCACTCTAGTCTTGAGATTTCTCACATCCCTTTTCTCCAAGAAGTATTCAGGGCTGACCCTATTTAGTTTTCTTGAGATCAGCCACAACTAGTTAAGTACCATCATCAATTGTGGTTCTGCCTCATTTTAGTGCTCTCCCAATGTTAATTAAATAATAATAATAATAATTCCAGAGTTCCTTTGGATTCTATCTGGTGGTTGAAAAAAAAATCTAACTAGAAAAGCTGGTGTGCCCTATATGCCAGGGGTGTCAAACTCAATTTCGTTGTGGGCCGCATCAGGGTTGTATTTGATCAGGGTGGATGTAGCCAGAGTGGGCGTACCCAGCTTGATGTCATTCATGTCGGGGCACCTGTGCTGGCCTGAGCTCTCTGCCAGCAAAAACGGGCTCCTGAGCTCTGTTTTTGGCTGCGACAGCCTCCTGCAACCCTCTGTCAGTGAAAATGGAGCTCAGGAGGGCCCCCTACAATCATCCTGAGCTCCACTTTGCTGGCAGGGGAACCACAGGCAGTCCTTCACTGTTTCCAGGGTGGCCCCATGGACCAGATTTACACACCCCATGGGCTGGATCCAGCCCCTGAACCTTAAGTTTGTTACCCTGCTAAATGCCCTCCCAGAAACTTCAGTGAGAGCGGATACTAAGATGGACCAATTAAACCCATTTCTGTCTGCCCACTGTTAGGAATAGCAATATTCTAAAGTCTACAGGAGATCCGGAGATGATCAGTAATGTATATCTGGTTTATCATCCTCTATATTGTACTTTGTATTGTATATATTGTACATAGATATTGTACTAGGTACTATATTGTACTGTATATTTTTTAGCTTAGGGTTTATGAGTCTGAAATTCAGACTGGATTGGCTTGGTTTCTCAGTCAGGGAGCAAGAGTGAACAGATCCTTCCCAACATCTGGCATGTCCATCTAATTTGAATAACCAGTACTTCGCAAAGTTTCTGCAAAGATTTAAAATGTGTTGTGAGTAGAAATATCCTCCTATCCCATGGATACATTCTCTTTTCTACCAGGCATTTTCTTTGTGAATGCATAGATGTTAATTCTGCCATTGGATATTTTATGGGTCATTGAAAAATTATTGGAGCCAATAATTTGATTTTCTTTCTGCAGTGGAACATGACAAGGAGTTTTATCATCAGCGCAGTCATCGTCGCGAGTTCCGATTTGATCTCTCTAGGATCCCCGAGGGTGAAGCAGTAACTGCAGCTGAGTTTCGAATTTACAAGGACTACATTAGAGAACGTTTTGATAATGAAACATTCCAAATCGGTGTCTACCAGGTCCTCCAAGAACATCCAGGAAGGTGAGTGACTAAAAGACCTCATTTGAGTTGGTGCTGGAAACCTAAGAGACTGTAGAATGAAATATAATTCAGTAGTTCCTGTAATGAGGGAGAGGGAGAGAAAGAGAGAGAGAAAGGGAGAAAGGGAAAGAGAGAGGGGGAAGAGATGAGGGGGAGAGAGAGATGAGAGAGAAAGAGAGAGAGGGAGGGAGAAAGAGAGAGATGAAAGAGAAAGAGAGAGATGAAAGAGAGAAATGAGAGAGAGTGTGTATGCCTGTGATGCTTATTATTTAGTATCTCCTCATCTAAAGACTCAGGGCTGAATGTGTGAAGAGATCTTCTGAAACTTCCTTTGTTAAGATGATATGGAAACTCTGTTTTTAGCACTTGACTTCCAGAGGCTGTTTCTGTTCAACTTAATTATCCCCCTTAAAATGCAACTACACTTGTGTATTTAATGTATTTAGCTTTGAAGTACTAATCAAGAATTGAGGTGTAAGCCTTTGAAGAGCAGTTGGTTTAATTAATGTGGAACTTGCTTATGAAATAGGTAGTAAGATTAGGCCCATTCCATGCAGAGTAAAAGACAGCTTGGTGGCTCTGTTGCTTCAGCTCCACTGAGTTCCTCCTCCATGGCTTGCCAAACAGGACTCATTTTGCTAAACTTTCAGAATGGTCTTATTTTCAGCCTATCCGAATGGCCGGAGTTGCAGGATCTCCTCCTATCTGAATCATGTTGAAATTCCTTACCCTTCTTGAGGATGGCTTAATATGGTGGACTTTAGCAGTGACATTCCAAAGATAGATTTAAATATAGGAAAGCAATTTCCAATTGAAAGTTAGAAAATAGTAACAGAGCACTGGAAACTGGATAGCGGAATCAATTATCCAGATAGGTGTAGACACGCCGTCACTGTTCGAGCAGAGGATCTGTCAGTGTGTCCCACACCGAGGAGCCAATCAGAATAGAGCTGGAAGGGACCTTGGAGGTCTTCTAATCCAACCCTCTGCTGAAGCAGAAGACCCTATACCATTTCAGACAAGTGGCTGTCCAGCTCGAAAAACCTCCAGTGATGAAGCACCCACAACTTCTGAAGGCAAGCTGTTCCATTGGTTGATTGTCCTCACTGTTAAGAAGTTTCTCCTTAATTCCAGGTTGCTTCTCTCCTTGATTAGTTTCCAACCATTGTTTATTGTCTTGCCTTCTGGTGCTTTGGAAAATAAGTTGACCCCCTCCTCTTTGTGTCAGCCCCTCAAATACTGGAAGACTGCTATCATGTCCTTCTTTTCTCTAGACTTGCTGAAAACAACAATCCCATCTGATTCTATGATTCTGTTTACTTGAAGTGTTGCAATGCCTGTAAGACATTTTAATAATGATGTGGTTGGTGGCATGTAAAATATGGATGGAAACTTTAGCTATTTGTTGTGTCTGTTCTGTAACCCGGTCAGGTTTTCAGATCAGTTACTTATATCAGAGCCAGTAAGCAATCTAAAGTTCATTCAGGAGTTCAAACAAAAGGTCTAGCTGTAAGCAGACTCTAAAGCTAGGCCGAAGGTCAACATCAGTGTATCAGCAGCTAAGATGCTCAACTGGAGATCAGAAGAGAAGCTTTTGTAGAGTTGCCACTGATGAATAACTCTCATGCCAATTTGTTTCTCAAGAGAGCATTCCTTTGAAGCCGTTGGTGCTCTCTGAGCTTGGTGGTTTTGCAGGCTTCAATCTGGTCCATCACGAGGACCTAGAGGCTTAATCTTCCAAGCGTTTGGATTCATGCTAGAGTGCATCCTCATTCAGCTGTAGCACAAGTCTGAAAGTTCAGAAGACTAAACTTCTGGTCCTTGTGATGGACCCAGATTGGATCCTGCAACATTATCCTGAGACATTGATATTTGCCTTCGTTGGTGGTTTTCTTGCAGATGTTTCATTATCAAACTAGCTAACACCACAGGGTATTCCTTTGCCTAGCTATTACCATCTCTTTTGCTGCCCCTCATCCCATTGATGATGGGCATCCCATTGAGCCAGGTGGCACAGTAGTTAGAGTGCAGCACTGCAGGCTACTTCTGCTGCCTGCCGGCTGCCTGCAATTTGGCAGTTCAAATCTTATCAGGCTCAAGGTTGACTCAGTTTTCCATCCTTCCAAGGTGGGTACAACGAGGACCCAAATTGGTGGGGGCAATAGGCTGACTCTAAATTGCTTAGAGAGGACTGTAAAGTGGTATATAAGTCTAATTGGTATTGCTATTGATTTTATCCCACCGAAAGAGCTGTCTCGGGAAACAAAGGTGAAGGATCTCCTCTAAATAAACAGGAGCTGCCTATTCCATTTAGGGGGTTATAGTGAAGGTATCTCAGGAGCTTCTAATCTTCCTCCAAAGAGAAATCCTTTGAGGTAAGAGTAGGCTATGCTGCTCAAACCTTCCTACAGTTTACTTCTAAACAAGACACATGTCTTCTGTAAATCAATAGATAGATATCATAGCATTTAGACATTACTTCACAGTGCTTTATGAGCCCTCGAGAATCAAACTGCTGGCAGTCAGCAGAATTAATCTGCAATACTGTATTCTAATCACTGTGCCACCACAGTAAGTAGGCAGGCAGATATTCAATGTATTAATTGGCATAACTTTCCTTTTTAATTTATCTTTGTTTAGTATCCTGAATAAACAATAAATCAAGTCTAATTTTGGGGTTAAAAATAGGAGATGAAGCAAACAAATTATTTAGTTCGAAATGACTTCCATAAAATGGACACTCTTCTTCCAAGGCTGCTAATCCACTATTGCTGCTGATACCAGGACAGAAAAGTTCCAAATAAGTGTGGGAAAGATGATTCCCTTTGATCTCTCTTCCTGAGAGGGTTTCCCTCCAGGCTTGTTGTGTACATAAGAATCTAAGTAACTGCAGGAAAACAGATGCATTGTACAGCTGACTCATGGCCTGCTCTGAGCCATGCCATGCCTTCATTTCAACAAGGGAATTGAAATGAAAAGGGGGGAGGGGTAGCTTTTTCCCATATAAGGTTAACCCAAGTTGTAATTTTCAAGAAGTGTCTGCCCCATTCCCCCCAAAAGTAAACATTCATGAAGTAGGTTTGTGAGTAATAGAAGATGGTCAAATCAAGCAAGTCAAATGAAACCCTGGAAATTCCACATCAGATCTCAACGTTTAAGGCTGAGTGTTGTGCTTTGTCATCCATGCTTCCTGTTATTGATCCTTGATTTGAAAGCTCATCAATGAATTTCAATGTTAGAGCCTGGCTGACAAGCATTGAGGACTTGGTACAACGTGGTAGAGAAGCCACAAAGCTTTGTGTTTGTTTCTAAGTTGACTCTGTCAAAGGGAAGGGAGAGTTTGATGCCCCAATTTTCAAAAGACCGCCCAAGGAATATGGAAGAATGTCCTTGATCAATTAGCAGATTGCTCTGTCTGACAGCAGAATTCATGCAGATGTCTTACTTGTTATCTTACAGATAATTTATGAAGAGGCCAGATGTGATTGGGTAGAATTGGGGTTTTTACCCTTATAACTAACTACTGTTACTCTTAAATCTAGAGAAGCTCATAGATGACCTTGGAGAAGGTCAGTGGCAATTGTTAATAAAATATTATTAACAGGAAAACAAGGAAGCATGAGAAAGAAAATCAAGGTTGTTCCATCTTGACAGCCTTAATAGAAGAGGGAGGGAAGAATAAGGCTGCCAAACCTTTAAGATTCTGTCACTATAATAAAATAAAATTCTAATATTTCTTGTGGCGTCTGTTTCTTAGGGTGGCCTGCCTTGAAGGGCTGACATGGAGTTCCTTGTCTCGTGTGTGTATTTATTTTAAGAATATACAGGACACTTTTGTTCCATTTGCAGTGCAAAATATTCTCAAAACCATAAGTCTTCAGAAAGACTTTAGCAGCCAGCAACTGTTTTAGTGGGGGCACTCTGATGAGATGATCAGAAATAATTGCCACATTTTCTTGAAAAGTGGCTGGCTGCTGTACCATAGTCAGTCTTTCTAAGATGCAGCCACACTCGGGTCTTCCACATGCTGCTTACACACCTTGGGGCTCCCGGAGGCTGGCTATGCTATCTGATTTGTCTAAAATACGATTTTAATTTAAAAAGAGAGTGAAATGATAGCACGCCATAAAGCAGATTGCTAGCCTGAAGCACAATTCATTTCCAGGAATGTTTCTGGGCCTCACATATATAATAAAATTGTTATAAAGTAATGAGCAATCATGGCAGACATTTATAAGAATGTCTCTTTCATAATTTCAGATTTGTCCACAAGCCCCACGAGATTATGATCTTAAGATCTTGTCTTAAGATAGGCTTTTTATTAAATCAAGATTGCCGTTCAAGAGTTAGTCCTTGTCCTCCAGATTACCTGAATATGCATTCTGCGGTGGATGTAACATCTCTATAGTACACTAGGATTCTTTTGAAAATGGAGAAGCAATTGTCAGGTGCAGAAAAAGTTCTCTAAAGATAAAAAATGTGCAATTCATTGAGGACACAGAGGATTAGGACTTTATTAGGGAAAGTACTTTTTAAATTGTTAAGTATTTTCATCTTGATCAGATTTGCTGATCAGATTGATTACATCACATTACTTTATCTTGTGCTTGAATATCTACAGAAAATCTTTCAGTTGGGAACTCGGAACATTTCCCCAGCTCCCTAAAAAAAAACACCCTCTGGTAGCTGGCTGTTATATGAGGATCAATGTCATAAAATGTAACAAAAGCTTTTCAAAGATCAGCTTGACATCTCTGCCCTAATTATCCAGAGTTGTGAGGGAGATGGGCAGTCCTAAAAATGGGTGGACATCGAGATAGATAGAAAGACAGACAGATCTGAGTCCTAGGGTGCCTGGATATGAAAGCAGATGCTTAAATTATCATTTCATGTTCTTGATCTGAATTGCATACATGACATGGATAAGAAGCATAGAAAAGCATCTCTCTCTGCTGCCATCTTGTGAGTGTCCATCATTTTTTTGGATATAATCCTAGAGATCTCATTCAGCTGGAACCTGAATGAAGCAGAGCAGGAGACCTATTTTTCTCACTTCTAAAATAAGTCTCAGTTTTAAAATAAGTCTTTTTCTCAGGCTCAACTAAAGTTCATGGTGCTAGTGACCTCTACACAGAGTACCATACTCATAACAATACAGGGAGTCAAAGGGAAGACTAAAGGTAGAATTTCCAACTAAACAAAACAGCACTAAAAGTAATTTTAAAAATGAAACCAATCCTGATAGTTTTATCTATTCTTTCCCTATTAAATGTACTTCTCTCGGGGTTTTGAAGCAAAGGGCCTGATCCCAGAAAGCCTTTAGCTGCTTTTAGAGATTATAACCCATCAGACTGAGGGGGGGAGTGTCAGATTGTCATTTTCAGTCCAAATCCTCCCAAGCCATACCTCCCCTCATTGATAGAGGACAGTAGCTTTTAAATATTATAAAATATTTAGAGTAATCATCCAGCCTGCAGCAATCAACAATGATTAGACTAGTTGAAAATTCTGGGTATTTATGTCTTGGTATCTGGAGGCTTCACAGGATATGGAAAACCATTCTGATTGTTAGTCTGATCCAGAATAGCTTATATATTGTTTGGGTATTTTCCCACGTCATTATAATGGTGTTTTTAAAGCACCACTATAATGACGTGGGAAAATACCTGAACAAAGCTGAATACCATACATAAAAATACCCGCGAAAACTTAAGAAAAATGTGTGTGTGTGTGTGCGTGTGTGCATAGCCTTGCAACAGAGCTGTAATTGGCCTTTATTTGTTTTAAAAAGGCCATCAGACTATCATTGCATGTATTTATATTATTATAACCTGTCCAAAAGTCAAATTAAGTTGAAAATAATCGTTCCCCCAAAATTAAGGTCAGGTATGCTTTAGCAGTTAGAACAGCACTCTAGCAGTATCTTTCTTTTGGCTTTCTCTTCAAGTGGTTTCTTTCCTGCTAAATTGAGCAATGTGTCAGAATGGAATAAGGAAGATACTACAATGATTTCTGTTAAAATCTAGGAAGCTGTTAGAAAGTGAATTGGTGTTCAAAATGCCTCATGTTTTGGGGTTTGATTTGTTAAAGCATGAAGATAACCAAAGAATAGAATAGAATAGAATAGAATAGAATAGAATAGAATAGAATAGAATAGAATA